CGTACATAAAAATGTTATCAAAATGCAGTGAAGTATACAAAAACTTTTTTGTTTTTCATCATTATTACAACATTGTAAGCAAAAAAGAAAAAAAAAATCAAAAAATTACAATAACTTTTATATGAAAGCAAAATATGGGAAAAACATTAAAAAGAACTAAGTGAGATCTGAACATATTGAAAGATCATTGTAACTAAAGCCCAAAAAAGTACTGCAATTCGATGATATCCAAATGTATTCTGAATCCGCTCAAGCGGCAACTGTGTCGTCCACTATCATTTCTTCTTTTTTTTTTTTCTTTCTTCCTTTACGTATCATTATATCCTCTATGAAAAAAATTTTTTTACTCCACAAAAGAAGAAAGCTTTAGTTATAACGACAAAAAAATAAAAACAAAAATACAGTGTAAAAAAGAAAATTACCAGTATTTAATGATTATTGAGGAACATAATTAAAGCAACATACAGTACTGCGTTCTGCTAACGAACTAATATTATTGGCAATATTGATAAATGCAACGCACCAACAGAAATTTTTCTGCTTGACTTCTCTCGAACCAAAAGTCGAAAAATAACGAAAAAAAAAGAATGGAGATTCATTTTTGGATAGATATAATTGGTAAAACAATAATAAAAAAAAATAGAATAAAAGTAAAAGAAAACTAAAAAATATATTGACACACGAAGACAAATATAACAATCATAATAAAAATAAATGAATGCAAATAACATAAGTATTGCAATATTCATGGCGTACCATCGCAACGTGTTTTAAACACAACAGCAAAGAAGAAGAAATAAAGGAAATTCTACTTCGTTTACCCGCATTTCAACAAAATTACAATGGAAACAAAAATAGCTGAAAATTATTGGTCGTTACAACAATATGAACACAAGAATAATCAATGAATCGCCTCTTCAAAATTTTTCTTTTTTAAATGAAAGATTCAAGGTTGACAGCGAATCCAAAATTGGGAGAGGAGAAGAATGTATTTAAGGAGACGATGGAGGAGATGGAGGCCCAAAATGGATGGAAAGAAAAGGAGGTGGCAGGACGAGTAAGCAATTAAACATCATTCTTACGCTTTTTGACCACTTGTTCGGTGCCGTCGTTAAACGGTGGTGTAATGTTTTCTGTATCCTCGCAATTTGTTTCGTCGGTTTCATTGCCACCATCATCGCGTTTTTTCTTGCGATCCAAAAGCCGCGTACAGCAGCAAAATTTTGCTAATTCAAAGAACAGTTCACAACACTCAATAACCGTAATTACGCTGAAGCCTGAAAATTGTATGACTGTTCGGACAGTACCGTACATTCACAGAATGGTGAGACACCAAAAACTGAAAACTTGCAAGCCAATTCCTTTTAGCCAGCCGTGATAAACAGTTGTATTTTTCTGTAAAATTAACCTACAAAAAGCAATTTGAATAACTTACGTAATGTTGTGTAACAAAATATGAAAATTTTACTGCACAGTTACACATCGCTGCTTGGAAGTATCAACAAAAAAGAAAAACTGTGATGAATATTAACAAAAAAAAAAAGAGAGAAAGAACTAACCCATCCAAAGTCCAAGATGGCCACCAACGTCTGCAAGAAGGTTAACCCACTGAAAATAAAACAAATAAGAATTGAACGCTTTAAATTGTTGCTTTACTGATGAACAAATAAAATAGCTGTTTGCCACAGATGAAACTGATATAATGCTTCTACTCACTCCGTATGCTTCACTTTCAATCAACAGTTCATAGTTTAGCTGTTCGTAGTACACCTCAACTAAAGCTGCATTTTTGCTATAAAAATCTTGACACTCTTCAGATGTTGCATTCGGATTTTGTGTAACTTCATCACAGTCATCGAGCTAAAAATCGCAACTAAAGTTTCGTATAGAAATCAAGCTAAAGTTTACTTCGCACAAATTTTCTGTTATTCCTCTAAGCTAAAAAAATTTTTTTTCTGAAAGTAGATGCCACTTGACTTAATACGTTCAAGTCGTAAGTTTTTTCTGAAAAAGAAGCATGTAATGGTTGTTATGTGCAAATTTTCATTGACCTTTGACAGCAAAATGAAAAGAACAGATTAACAAATGATGGTTTTTTTGTAAAAAGGAACCTCGGTAGCACCCGACGGATAGCGTGCCGTCGAAAAGGTTACAGTGTATACGTCGTGATCACACGGCTGTCGACAGTCACATTTTGCTTTCCTGTGAGAAGGATCACCGAGTTCTTGAATCGCATGAGTTAGACATGATCCTTAAAAATATAATTTAGAAAAGGAGGACAGTAACAATTTTGGCGTCTCGGCGAAATGTAGCATTGATCCGCAGAAGTTTTATGTGGTAGAATGCTAAAATCTACACGATGTATGTATGACATACTAAAATTTGATAAAATTAGGCCAAAATGGAATAATAAAGTGCTAAGCAGACACTTACGGGCGGTGGAGTTGAAAGCGTTACAATGTACCTCGTTTTTAGGTACCGGATAACGTGGGTCGCCACAACCACATTGCCTAAGCATATCGTTCTGGAAACAGCTGCGATAACAACCCTAAATAGAAAGCCAATTACACTAAGGTAGTTTTTGACATCTGATAACAGTTTTACACAAAAAAGACTGCAGTTTTAGTCTAAAAATTTTTAAAATTTTTGATCAAAAAATTTAAGTTTTTTTGAGTAAGACTTTAAAAAAAACTAATTCCTGTCTTGCAGCAAATAT